TGGAGAGAGTATTGTATAACATGCATTTCTCAGCACGTCTTTATACCAATGATGTAGTCTGCTGCATGTTAAAGCTTTTGAAAAGGAATATTTACATGTGGTCTATGATAAGCTTAAGGCTGCCATTCTGAAACTGAGCTCAAAGAAATAGGAGTTGCTTCAAAAAGAGATAATTGCCCTGGGTACGCAATCAGTGAAGGAGGAATTTCCACAGGTTCAAAAACCCCCACAAAAAAGAAGACAGTGCAGAAGTAGACACACCTCCAACCACTCCTATTGAAGAAGTTTCGTTGAAGTGTTGCTGAAATTGCAAAACCAGCTCATACATTTGTAGAGAAAGGGGGTCTTGGGCCACCTAACTATGCTCCAAAGTCCTTTTCATGCCGGACACAGATACTAGTGCTTATAGGTTGCAGATGGTATTGAGAAAACACCTAGAGAAGGTCATCATTTACTGTAATAAAGGGCTTAAATTCTTCAACAAAAGAAGTGTTAGTATTCTTGTCTGTGGTAATGTAACATGTTAACCACTATTTGTATGGGGAAAAGTTTGTGGTCAGGACTATGTGTCTCCATAATGGGGTTTTATATTCAGGCAAGGCAAGGGGGGAAATTGCGGTGCTATGGTTTCATACTCACATACAAGACTGGGAACAAGCTTGGTAATCCTGATGCCTTGTCCCAGGAATTAGTTGTGCAATGGTATGAATATTCTGCCAAGAAGATGGTGGTTTCCTTTCTTCCCATAACTTGCAGAAGGGCAAATGTTCCTGTAATGGTGGATATGCAGTTCCAGGTAAGGATTCCAGAAAAGATTCCCAAAGGGACATTTCTAGTACCAGAATAGTACATGAGCAGAAAATCAGTTGCCAAGCATAGCCAATGTGGAACATGTTATCCTCTCAGAATAGGTCAGAAAAAGTTTTCTGGTCACAATGGGAAAGCTTAGAGTTTAAAGACAGAAAATTATATAGGATCTAGGAAACGTCGGTAGGTAATGGGTACTATTAACAGCTTATTTTATGTTGAGAAAGGAGTTTCTGAAGTTATGGCAGGATTTTAAAAGATCTGGACATTTTGGGGTTGTAAAAAATCTTATCCAAGCTATGAAAAAATTATATTTTGTAAATACCAGGCAGCAGGGAGAAATTTGCAAGCAAGACTGATTCTGGCTTTGCAAAGAAGGAAGTCGCTAAGGCTGAAAGAGGCTCATCACAGGCATCTCTCACATGGACTCTAATGGAGCACGTTGCTGTTAATAGGACTGAGACGGGGTGTGCAGCAATCAGTATTTGCTGGCAGATAAGGACAACTTCACAAAATGGCCTGGGTCTTGCTCAGTAGGGAACCACGTCTCTGCAACAGGAGTCGAAGTGCTAATGAACAAATATTTTAGTAGAGCTGGAGTCCTGTATGCAGAGACAACTGTCACAGGTTATGAGGCCTGGACGCGGGGTCCTGGGGGGGTGGGCAGCAGTTAGATGCAAAGCTGGCCCAGCTCCATGGGACCCCCCAAAGCATGGGGCCTGGGGCAGTTGCCCCAATTCACCCCTTCCTAGGGATGGCCCTGCCTGTATGGGTTACACATAGATCCACTGAGAAACATTGTGAGATTTTATGGGTCCACAAAATCTACAGCCCTCCTCACAGTGTGAGCATTAAGATAGATAAACCTTGCCAGTACTGACCCACAGAAATGAAGTAGTGAACAGCAAATACTGGGTCTCAGAATTAAATCCAAAGTTATCTATGAGATATCATATGGTATCAGGGACAGGACTGTTCCAAGACTGAGACAGAAGCTATGGACACTGAAGCTGGAAGAGCTGGGAAGAGACCCGGCTTTCCATTAAAACAAAATGAGCAGCACCTGCCTCAGCCAGCAGATTTCACAAAAACAACAGGCGTTCCTCTGAGCCTCGCTGAAAGAGCTCACTTCTGGGGAGGAAAGGAAATGGAACAGGGAAAGGAAATTTAGATGGCAGTGAAAATTGTTTGAGCTGATGATGTGAAATTCTTGGGTGGAAAAGTACTGTAAAAATAAAAATAATTTATACAGTCCCATGTGTACTTTGTTGAATCAGGACTGTCCAATTGATGACTCATGACCCAAAAAAGGGTGAGTATGTGGCCCATGGGCCTTACACAGCCCACAAGCAGCTAACATGTGGCGGGGGGTTGGGGGCTTGGGGGTTTGTGTGCTGCTAGTGCAATCTGCAGCAGTTACTTTTCTTTTCAAAGCCAGAATTGTGTTTGCTGCACCAGTTTTCTCCTTATGGAGAACGCTTACATAAGAGACACTTTTTGATCGTTTGGATAAGGTTTTTACAACCCCAAAATGTCTAGCTCTTTTAAACTACAGATATGTGCAAGATGCACATGTGTGTAGGGATTCCACTGGATATTCTTTTGTGAAGGCGTGTTTGTCTGAGAGAAAGGAAGACCCAAGGGCTACGGACAGAAGTTACATAGGAATTGGTATAAGTGATCGGAAACTGGTTCAAATCTGTAACACAACAGAAGTTCAGTGCACATAAATCACTTTCAAAATGGCCAAAAAAAGTTTTAAGATAAACCTGGATAGATGTACAGTAAAAGCTGTGTTAACCAGCATTTTATTATCCAGAAAACTCTATTAACCAGCATCTGAGTGACACAGGAAAAGCAAAACTGGAAGTACCACTTCTGGGGGACTTCACATTTTGCTGCCCCGAGCTGAGTTTTTCTTCACTACTTTTTTGGCCCACGGCCCAGGGCAAAGCAGCCTGCCTGGGGAAAAAGTAGCTTGCACAGAGCCCCCCTCCCTGTCCCCTGGCACACTGACGCCGGGGACTGCGCCAGACGGTGCACATTTGATTAACCAGAATATTTGATTAACCAGCATCCCCCATTCCTGGGGGATGCCAGATAACAGAGCTTTTACTGTAGTACCAGACTTAACTGATTTAGGTTAAATAGGTTTATTGAACTTCTGTCCAAGATTCCCTCCAGAGTTAAGTTACCTCACAGTCCCCCAGCATCCCAGGATGCTTTGCACCTCCTCTGCAAACCCCACTTCACAGGATGGTTGGGGTTAGCGTTGGTCCAAACCATCTGCTCCAGCCGAGCAGGGACGCGTACTCTAATGCCCCACTCCCCCCAGCCCGGGCTTCTGGCCTGGGTCACTGCAGGCATGTGGCTGCATTTCCAGAATCAAAACTGAATGCCTGTTCACTTGCTTATTGGTTCAATCTATGCAGCTTAGACTAATCTGTGGCAATTGAATCGATTCAGCCTTGGGCTTTTTGACTGCCTGTACTTAGCCAAGAAGCTGAGAACGAACACAGCCATGAAGCCTCAGACAGCCCGAACCAGAAGAACAGTCAAGGCAACATTATATGAAAGAGCTTTCAGGGTAATTGCTGGCTAGCAAGGAGCTTGAGGCTGCAAGCAAAGAAATGGTCTTCTGCTGTTTGGTTTGTGTGGGGCTCAGGGAAACAGGCCTTTGTACACTTTGGTAAATAAAACAAGAATGCAGCATGGAAGTTCCTGAGTCTGCCATCAATATTTCCTCCTAATGGAGACATCATAGTAGCCCAAAATTTGGCTAACAGCTTCTGTGCCAAAGGGTAACAACTAAATTGTAGGACTTGAAGAATAGCTTTCAATTTTGAATCAAGGGGTTGCATTTAAATATAAGAAGAGGTGAAGTGAAAAGCTGTACATGAACCTGTAATCTGTGTTCCCTGACTTCTCTATAGCACAAACTTTGCCCTTCAGCCTCCAATTTGTTCTACAGGGCTGGGGGGCTGCATCTACAGGTGATTCATTGAAATCACTGGAGCTACATGTTTGTGCAAGGCTCTGCCAACATAGAAGTGGCCCTTAATGCTTGATTTAATAGTTTTAAATGTGATCACTTATTTCTTGTTAAGATTTAGAGTATGCCTGATGTTAACAACTCCAGCAGTGACATAGAACCCAGCTCAAAAATGTGCATCCCAAGGATATATCTGTATGGCAATAGCACAGAGAGAGCAAGTTCTTAAGCTAGCTGGGCATTAGAAGCAGCAGACCTGTGTTAGCACAGAACATTTGTATAGGATGGTTTGGATAGGATGATCCTGGCTCAAGCAGGGGGCTGGACTAGGTGCCTGTGGAGGTCCCTTCCAGCCCGACTTCTCTATGATTCCCCATGCTAATTAGCTGCCCTGAGAAGTAGGTTCTATTAGCTTGGGCACAATATGCCACACCAATGGGACCATACAGCTTCCAGCCCCCAAAAGAGCTCAAATAACTATATGTGACATTGCATTGTGCTATGAGGATGCCAAAAATGGCATACAGAGTTAACTGGAGATGCACAGGAAGACTTTAACTGAAACAGACCTTGCTGTTCTATTACCAACTGAATGTCTGACAATTCATTCATAGTGCATCATGTAAAGTTGTACTGCATATCAAATGTATATAAAAATAATCAATCTGTACCCAGCACAAAGGAGAAGAAAATTGGCACAACTTCTTTCTTGCTGTTGAAAATAAAGAGCCAGATCCTCAGCCTGTGTAAACTGGCAAAGGACCATAAAAGTCAGCAGAGCTGTGCTGATTTACCTCAGCCAAGGATGTGGCCCGTAATTACAGTGTAGAAGGCTCTAACATTGTGTACATGCCAGCTGCTAATTTTAAAACTGGTAGAATCAGTTTTTAGAAACAACAACTGACTCATTTTGGCTGACAAGTTAAGCATGATTAATATGTAGCAAGATAAAAATGAAAATGAACAGCTTACTATGCATCACAGTTTAATCTTTCTGCACTATGCAAAATGGTTTAATTTTAATGATTCAAAGTAAAACAGCTACAAAAACAAGGGGTTTAAAACTGAAGCTTCTGTCGTTTGAGGCCAAATCCTGTGAAGTACTAAGCATATCTTGGAAGACTCCATATACGTCCTCAATTTCCAGTTAGGTTAGAGGGGCTGTAGCTCCCAGAAGAATAAAGAGGGACAAGGCTTTACGTAATGCTACAATAAACTTCTCATTTATTAAACAGGACCAAATAAAACTAAAATATCAATAACAAAACATTAAAACATAAAAACAAGTCAAACGTACTTTAAACCATAAAACCATACGACTTTAAACCATAAATAGACTTTATGATAAACAAATACTTATCGATAGATCTGTAGCTTAAATAATAAATTAGGCAAATATGTCTGTTACAGTCCCCATTAACACCCTAGCATATGACTGGTTTACTGCATGTAACTTGCATTTAAAGATAACCATGCCTAACCAGAAACAGGGTTTTCAAAAAAGTCTAAAGCATCCAATATCTGTCTATTTGTTCTTATTAAAACACTTACAGACAGTTTAAGATTCAAAAATAATTTGCTTCTGAAGAAAGCTTTCCTAGATCTGTGGAAGATGTCATCAATACTTTATAAACGATTTTGGCTTTGGACATTTGCTCATTTGGGGCCTGTAAGAAACCTGGTAAGAAGCAAATGGACACCTTGCTCAAACATTATCAGCTAGAATGCTGAATGTAACGGCGGAGCAACTACTGATATATTTAAAACTGTATCGTTGGCAGGATTTTCAGTTATCTTGCATTCATAGAAGCATCTGACAAAATATTTAATGTTAAGCCTGTGTCTATGAATTAGATGAATGTTATGCTCCCTGAAGGGTTAATATTGTCTTGCTTCATTTCTTACATGTAGTAATTTAGCTCTGAACAAAAGCAGCTCCCTGCTGGTTACCTTGGCTAAAAGAATCACAATGAACTGGTAAAATCCAGTTTTATCTTACTGCTGTTGCCTAGGGCTACAGACAAAATGAAGAAAAAAATTCACATGCAGAGTATTAGGTGCTTATGAAAGATCCTGCAGAGCTGTTGCCTAGTGATTCAGTGAGGAATCAGCATAGGCCAATGAGGTGTGCGGGTATTGAATACGGTCCCTGATGGCTGGTTTACATCTCCCGTAATTCTGTCATACATCCCCATGATTTTCCAGTGGTGAGAATCACTTTCAAGGGGACCTGTCAATAAGATTTAAAAACAAACAAGTCAATCACATAGAGCAAGATTATTATTACTATTGCTTTTCCTATTAGAGTCTGATAAAAATTGAGGCTATAAGCCTAACTCATCTGAAATATCTTAAACCCCTATAACTTGTTTAATTACTGCTGTAATTAATTCCTAACTAAAACGCTATAACCTTTTGGGCTATGTTTTTCCTTTGGACATGCTCATATGTTTCACTGGACTCAAAGAAAACCCCTGAATGTGCAAATGCCCCAAACCAAAACAGTTTTCACATTGTTTTATAGCCCTATTCATAGCAGATGCCAATACTACAGTGTTTATGATCAACAACATTGACAACAATATCATAAATATACTGTACTTTATCACATTTTTCTTTTTAAAATTTAATTTGCAATCACTAGTTCTCTGTTCCAGGAATAAAGGTTTTCTGACATGAAAGCTGCCTCAGTAACAGAGACTGTACATTTTGGAAAAAGCCACTTCAAAGATAAGGCATACTTTCTCTCAGCAAAAAAAAAAGAGGAGTCTCTCTCCACTATGAATGTGTGCACTGTACTTCAGTGACACCTCCTTCTCCGTATTAAATGGATAATATTCATATTAAAAGACCATTTGGATAACTATGAAATAGAAGTTAGGTATGCACATAAGCAGAGCGGAGGCATTTTACAAAAACCGTTAATCATCTTCATCATGCCAATCCCAGGAGCATTATCCTCATTATATGGAGGAGATGAAAACAAATCTTAACAACAACACAGATTCTTGTTTTAATGAACTCAGGATTTACTCTACTGAATCCACCATCAAATTTAATATCTGGCCATTGCCACTGATCCATATCTGATGATTCAGGTGAGGGTGAAATACCTTCAGAATGCATATAGCCAAATATGCATTCTGCATGGAGAAAAATGTCTTCCTGATCTCCACAGAAGGTTTGTTTAAAATATAGATAATCAATCTCCTCCATATATCTGTAAATGTTATCCTTGGTCATGAAATACTCCTAATCTTTTAAAAACCCAGCGATCCGTATTGGTTTTAAATAGGTTGTTGCAATGAATGGAATATACTGACTATACTATTGTCCAAAGATTGATTTTCTTTCACTAGTTGAAAAGTTACTAGTCATTAACCTTGGAATTTGCAATTCCATTCTAGACTCTGCTGTATTTGATCGGGTCAAAAGTCTGCCTAGTCCGATTTCTTGTCTCTGACAACGTCTATTCCCAGATACTTCAGAGAGAGGTGGAATAAACTGTAGTTGGCAGGTGTGGAACATTTTGCTTACATAGGCATTTTCTTAACATCTGTCAGCTAGCAGTAAGCTTATGCCCTGAACATGATTTATACCCTACACTTTTGTAACCAGTTGTTCTCATTATCTGGTTAAGTACCTGCCCTTCTAAATTCCAATAATCTATTTACCAATTATAAACTTGTTAACTTTTAATTTCATTGACACTCCAAATCCCAACCCTCTTGTCTTTGCATTGAAAAGGGTAACTTAAGTAACTGTGCTGGGGCTTGCTGATCTCTGGCATTTCCCAATATTTCAGTTATAGTTATGAACTTTTAACTTATGAATTTTGTAACTTTAATATACTTTAAACTTTTTTATATGCAATTTCTGCAATGTACTAAACCTAGAAAAGAATAATCAAAAACAATTATGAAATGAGTGATAACTGACTCAGTGGCAGCACTATGGAAAAGGATCTTGGGGTTTTGATAGGTCACAAACAACACGAGTAAGCCATGTGACACAGCTAAAAAAAAAAAAAAGACAGAGATTAATGCAATTTTGGGAAGCATCAACATCAGTATTAGATGCAAGACATGGGAGGTGATAGTGTTACTATATTCAGCACTGGCTGCACTAAAAGTGATTGACTATACCCTACAGGAGCCAATATGATGGAATCACTAGCATAAATGTAATTCAATTCACAATTTTCCATACCTTCAGTGGCATTTCTAAGGCTTTGATTTGTGGCAGAGATTCCATTGTTCTTTTTACAAGTGCTAAAATACAGTTAAAGAAGTTTAAGTACATACAGCTTTAACATCTTAATTAGAACTTGCATATAGAAAACAAAAAATATGTTGCATAATACTTCTTTGCCTAACACTGCTTAATGTACCCACTCCTAATTGCTCAGATTGTTCTTGTATGTCAAAAAGAAAAAAAAGTGGAAATCATTATGCTGTGAAAGAGATTTGGTACTTTTTAAATAAAAATAATATTCAGTTTATAAGCAATTAATCATCTGAAAGAAAAAATAAAGGAAAATGTTTTAATATTTATAATGTGTGTAATTTAAAAATATTTTTTGAAACTTGAAACACCAGAAAAATGAAAGGGGGGCACATCTGAGAGACCTTTTACATCAATGTAGAAAGGTCCAATTGCTGCAATTCTCAACCCTACAGTCTGGCATTTCTTGCCTGAATAAGTTTGGTAAAATTTTAAATAAGGGAAACTTCTTACAAGGCCTTAAAAACAGGTTCCAAAACAAACGAAACATGACCACTGATCATTAATCAAACCACAATAGAAAATCTAAGATAGATTGAAGCTACCTATTGTATGGACTTCAGAGACTAAGGACAGATACACAAGACTCTGTGTGGGATAATTAAACTATTAAGAATCTAAATGCTAATATTTTACTATGATTTATGAGAACTTAACTGGATAGCTCAGGCTATTAAAGTTACATATCTAAGTGTCAGACTCCAAGACATTTGCTTGATACCATATGGCAAACGTCTTCTGCTTAACATAATAACTGTCAGCATTTTGTTCAAATCTCTTATAAAACAATTAATTTCCTTTCTACTCATTCAGGGAAAATTTGCTTTTCCAGATCTTGATCAATTATTAATCATCTGATAATGACTCAATGTATTAATGGTGTAACACATTTGTTAATGCTATATTTGATTTTGCCCAGTCCCTAAATCTCAAAGGTTTCATAGTGGAAGGAGCTATTCCTCATTACCCAGTCTCAATAGATTCTTGTTAGACACCAGCAAATCCTCAGTGGAGTTGTGCCAATTTATGCCAGTTGAGAACCTGACTCTGCATTTTAGATTGTTTATTATATTTATAGATCCTGAAACCTCCTCTGATGTCTTCCATTTTTTAAAATTTTGCCTAATAACTCAACAACATTGTCTACACGCATCACTACTTCAGACGACTTCTAGTGAAATATTAACTTATGCTTAAGCTGTTCCCACCATACGCATTTTAACATCTTGCCCTATTACCATCCCTAATTTGAATTTTAAAGACAAGACTCCAGCATGCACAGAAAGTTGCTCCCTGGTTTTTGTTTAGACTGATAAAATGTGCAGTTCAAGGCTCCCATATACTTAAACATATCTATTGGTTCCTCATTCATTTTGATCGCCTATTTAAAAAGCCTCCAGAGACTGCTTGATCTAAAATCATGGCTTCTCCTTCACTTAATTCTGCTCATCTCTTTTTTGCACTGGCCTTTTTTTTTTTTGCACTGGCCAAAAAGTCCAACCAGCATTGTAGTAATGCCCTTCACTTAATTTAAAGATATCTTTCTATGTAACTGTTTTATTAAATTAAACACTTAATGTCAGCTGAGAAAAGTTCTGTTCACCATATCCGCTCTGGTTTTAGCTCTCCTCTTGAAAATTCATTTTGTAAAACTCACAAAAAATAAATCAATACTAATTAACTCTTACCTTTTATGCATAATAAAGCAACATAAATAAACCCTTAATAGTTAAGGGCCAGATGTAATTTGGTCATGAAAGTACTCACACTAAGGCATTACAATGTTAAAACTTAGGCACCTTGACTCAGGAAAGCATTCCAATTTGACCAGGTTTAAAAACTTCTTAGGGTAATATCTTTTATTGAACTGTCATTGGGATACAGTGAGATAAGCTTTTGAATACAAGACATTCCTCATCAGGATAAAGCTTGTCTAATTTTAGTCCAACTACATAGTTGGTCCAATAAAAGATGCCAACCTAAGATGGTTTTGCCTATCACTTAATTTCTAGACAAACATGTCTAAAACATTACTCTTGCACTACTAGGTTCAAGTGCATACAGAGTATGTGGGGATGTAACCTATAGGAAACAGGGTCTCCTTTGAGCATGTGTTCTACTAGGATCCAGAATCCTTTGCTCCTCTTCTCAGCTCAGGCGTCTAACCGACTGGTGTTGGCAATGACCACTTTTCCCATAGTAACTTAATGGACAGAATGCTTGCCCAGGATGCTGATCACCACAGCCTGTAAGGATTCAAGCCCACATCTCTCACTTCCCAAAAGAAAACTGGCTGCAAAGCAGAACTCCTAGCACTGTTTGTGTGTTTTATGCTAGATGGCTGTCCATTAAAAGCAGGAAAGAGCCTAGCAGCATGGACCAGAACCCAGATCTTCCCCTCTCCTCCACTGAGCGCCCAAACTATTAGGCTACTGAATCCTGCCCTCTTAATTGTTTTCCTGTTGGCCTCATGAGTCTTCCGTTCTTGGTTGCACAGTTTCCCCAGCTTCAGCTGCAAGACTTGAGGATGCTGCCATCCAGACTATTCTATAACGTGATGGTTAGGGCAAGCAATGTGCGTTTGAGTCTCTCCAGCCTGAGGAAGACTTAAACCACAGATCTCACACTTTCTTTGGGCTCCACCGTTGTCAACGTTGAGCTACACTCGATGTTGCTGATGTGAGCCAGGTGTGCTCTGAGCATGACTAACAGGTCAGATCCTTCTGGAGACTTGATGCTAGGGAGGTACTTAATCTGGATTTCAACAGAGCTAGGGCAGGAGTTAGATGCCTCAGTTATTGAACTGGATCATTTTAAGTTATTGAACTAGACCATTTCTGAGCGTTCTCAAAAGTCCAAACCTAGAGGCCTTTGGATCTTTGAAGACCAAAATATAGGAGGGAGTCACTGAGCATTGTGAGCGGGGGCAATACAAGCTGTCTGAAACTGAGGCCACTTCTACCTGAATTCCTTTTAGGCATCTACAGAACATATCCAGATCTGGTGCTAAAAGACCTAAACTAAGTAACCATGCAAACATATTGCTACGATGGCCATTCTTTACCCCCTCCCCTCCCAACTGCACATCACTTCACTTTCCTTATCCTCTATCTTTTCAAATGAATACATCTTTCAACCCCCATGGCTTACAGTCCAAAATTACTGAGTATTCATTGATATTTCAGAAACATTAGGCATGTTATGTTGAAAATATTTTATGCTGTCATTATTTGGCAGAGTCTGTGAAAGTGAGATGGTAAGGGGAATAGACCATGAAGGAACTGAAACGTTAACATCTAGTAGGATTTTCTGGTGATGATTAAGATAAATATACTTATTGAAAAATGTATAAATAGGCATAAAGAGAAGGCATGCATGCCTGATGTGGAACAAAAGCTTGTCTATGCCTACTGCACTGAAGAAACTGTTCAAAAGCCTGTATTCTTGAGAACGTGAGCCCAGAATTTTACCAAGGCAAGTGAGCCCCATTATGATTGTTGGGTGGTGGCTGTGAAAGTCTCTTTTTTTTGAAGGCCAAATCCTCTCTCTCTTTATTATGTAGGCCTTCTTTTGAACAAGTGCACTTTCCTGTGTAGCTGGCAAGCTTCCCATTAAGTGACTCAAATTTTAGCTAAGTGCTGATTTCATTAAATTTGGATGTAATCCATAACATTTTTATTCCCATCCAATTGTTTTAAAAATCCAAGATACTGTACTTTAGACTTGCAATAACCAAAGGCAAAATCTTGACTCTTCAAACTAAGTGAGATTTAGAATAAAATTAACTTTCTTCTCATTGTCCTGTGTGTATGCACGTGGGGGGAGGGGGGTTGGTTCTCTTTCACTTGAAACAATTAATTCTGTTTAAAATGTTTTCCCTTGTAAAATATCACACAAGCCTCTACATAGAATCATACAAAATGAGGGTTGGAAGGGACCTCAGCAGGCTATCTAGTCCAACCCCTGCCCAAAACAGGACCAGCCCCAACTAGATCATCCCAATCAGGGTTTTGTGGAGCTGGGCCTTAAAAACCTCCAAAGATGCAGATTCCACCACCTCTCTAGGTAACCTGTTCCAGTGCTTCACCCCCCAAAATGGTGAGGAAGATTTTCCTAATATCCAAGATAAACTGCCCTTGCTACAACTTGAGACCATTGCACCTGCCACCACTGAGAACAGTTCAGCTCCATCCTCTTTTAAAACCCTCTTCAGGTAGTTGAAGGCTGCTATTAAATCCCCGCTTAGTTTTCTCTTCTGCAAACTAAATACACCCAGTTCCCTCAGCCTCTCCTCAGAAGTCATGCTCCCCAGCTCCCAAACCATTTTCATTGCCTCCCCTGAACTCTCTCCAATTTATCCACATCCTTTCTATAGTGGGGGGCCCAAAACTGCACACAGGAATGCAGATGTGGCCTCCCCAGCGCAGAACAGAGAGGAAGAATCACTTCCCTTGATCCCCTGGCAATGCTGCTGTACCGGTGCATGGGATTCGTCCATCCTAAGTGCAGGACTTTGCACTTGTCCTTGTTGAACCTCATGAGGTTTCTTTTGGCTCAATCTTCCAATTTGTATAGTGCTTTCTGAATCCTAGCTCTACTCTCCAGCATATCTACTACTTCCCCCAGCTTGGTGTTATCCGTGAACTTACTGAGGGTGCATTCCCCACCCCATCTTCCAGATTGTGAATGAAGATATTGAACAAAACTGGCCCCGGGACTGACCCCTGGCACACTCCACTTGATTACTACCCATTGAGCCTGACAGTCCAGCCAGCTTTCTATCCACTTTACAGTCCATTCATCCAATCCATACTTCCTCAGCTTGCTTGCAATAATGCTGTGGGAAACAGTATCAAAAGCCTTACTAAAGTCAAGGTGTATTATGTCCACTCCTTTCCCTACATCTGCAAAGCCAGTTATTTCATCATGAAGGCAATCAGGTTGCTCAGGCATGACTTGCCCTTGGTGAATTCATCCTAACTGGGGA